TCTCACTCTGTCGCCCAGACTGGAGTGCAGTGGCGGCTCCCGGCCACTGCAGCCTCGACCTGCCGGGCTCTGGCGATCCTTCCGCCTCAACCTTCGAGTAGCCGGAATTACAGGCGCGCGCTATCACGCCCGGCTAATTTTTTTATTTTATTTTATTGATGCCAATGGGTTCCTATAATGCTAACCTAGCAGGGAAGCCTATAGTATATATTTATATGTATTCATGTATATATACATATGGGAAACCCAAACATCTGGAAGTAAAATGCATGAAACAGTAGTTATCTTTACCAACTCCTTCCTTAGGCTGGCAGCCACCTCCCCTCTGCTGAAACAATAGAAAGCTACAAAAGGCTCTTTCCACCAGTGTCTCTAGAGCACACTCCTGTTGCCTTCCTGTCCCCACAGCCTAGCTCCTCCTTCCCACTCCACACACACTGTTTTTTCCCTTTCTCACTGGCATTTACATGGATGTTGTACTGTTCTACCTTCCAGTGCCTCAGTTCTCCATTCACTAATGTGGTTGGTATGGATGTCTCTGCAATAGGAACTATTTTAAGGAGTCAGGGTTCAAAGACACTGGGAGAGCTTCTGCCCCCAACTCAGAGTCTTGTCCTAAACACTTCTCTGTGGTGGTATCTATAAAATGCTATAGGAGCATCATAGATTTCTCTGCCCTTCCCAAGACACTCAAAGGAAGGAGTGCAAATAAACACAGACCCAGATGTGAGATTTTTAGGTTGGGACCTAGCTAGAACACTAATGCCAGTTTTCATTGTGCTGCTGATGGCTGGGTTATCACTTCTTTTCATGAGCTCAGCTCTGAAAGATCCACCAATGGAATTTCAATAATTCCGAATGGCAGGAGAGCACAGCACCAAAGATCAGTGTCTTTACTCTCCTTCTATGCAGTTTCGTCTTCCTTTACCTGTCTTTCCATCACTTTTCCCCTTTCCTTGCTCCAAGGTGATGGGCCTATTGTGTGTTCATTCTCTTCCTCTCTCATAGCAAGGGAGACCCAGGGAGGCAGTAGGGTGTACTGGTTGGCAAAGCTAGTTCAAATCCTACCTGCCTCCCTTCCTGTTTAGCCATGGATATGTAAGTTACTTAACTTCTCTAAAGCCTGTAAAACAAGGATAATACCACTTACTTGAGGGTTTACAGGAAAGATTAAGCTAAATGTAACACATGTAAAAGCACCTACCAGAGACACTGACACATAGTAGATAATCAATAAACACTGTCTCCCTTCTGTTACTGGACATACCATACTTCTTCCGGGTACCATCTAGAAGCCACAAAGGAGGGGGATGTATTCACAGATAGGGTGAAGATCATGGATCCTTTCCTGTCCCCCTCATTTAGTATCTTTCCTTTACTAGGGATAGGGCATGGTAGGAGACAGGATAATGTTAATAAATGATTAATAATGAAAAGACCCATAATGAAATGTAGGAGTCAGGAGGCTCTTTTGTGGGGCTTCTGTTTAGAGGAGGTAGCTCTGCTTATTGGCCGAACTCAGGCGACCCAAATAGAAATGTCTCCCTTGTTTTTAATATCATCTGACATGAGAAAAGACAAGAAAAACTTGCCTTAGTCATTCTCTGTCTGTCTTCCAGTCTGTAAACACATCATTCAAAATCTCTTCCTGCCCCTGTGGGGTAAATGCAGGACATATGCCCTGCTCCCCTCCTTGCTGATGACTATTTCTCGACTGGGAGAATGGCCCCTGGCCAAGGCCATTTGTGCCCAGTCAAAATGCCCTTGAAGATATGCACATCTGTGAACTGAAGGCAGTTAGTGAGAGTCAACATCTTTGTTTCTGCTTCCTTGCTCATAATACTATTGCTTTGTCTTACTCCCTTTCCCACACTGGGGTTATATAATCTCTCCTCACATGTGCGGAGAGCTTTGTACTGACTGGTCACCATTGGTTTCTTCCCATAAGTATTAATATATCCATGTCTTTGCCAACCAGTTCCCCAGGTAATTTCTTCGGAATAGGTAAACATTACACAAGAACCCTGTCTGATTGGGGTTGCCACAATACAGGCCCCATAAAGGGCCCACGGTGAGTAGACTCTATATGGCAACAAGCTGCCATGGCTGAGTATATTGTGAGTTTCCATTAGAAGATTTAATAAATGCTATAAAATCACTATTTCCCCTAACCTCTCACATAGCACGTATAAGCCTTAGTGAACATTTAGCATCTTACCTTTACTTTTTCACCATTAATCTCTACTGTCTTAATCATAAAATCAACTCCAATTGTGGCTCCTTGACCTGGGGGGAAAAGACCCTGAAGAAGAAATAATGGAAAACAAACAGTTAAACACATCTTCCAATTAAATAAACCTCTTCCTCCTCTCCCTCACTACTACTCATTACCAGTCTTTCCTTCGGCTGTGGTAGAAAAGAGAACTCTGATCAGTGTCATGGGAGCCCTGTTTAATTTAACTTCATATTTATGTCTTGAGGGGAAGAAAGACAAGGGACAAAGTGGGAGAGAGAAATGCTGGAAATAGAGGAAAGAGAAAAAGGGACAAAGAAAGGGAGAAAAGACAGAGTGAGGAAAATTGGGAAAGGGCAGGATTGGGACTCGATTTTAAGAATGAAACAGAAAAATAAGACACAAGGATAAGAGTGAGGGGTATGCAGTCACAGAGATGAGATCAGGATTGTGGGTGGAGATAAAATGGATAGCTCCTTTAAAAGAGGTAAAATCAAGGAAGTTTAAAAGCTGGTTATCAGTTTTGAGCATGGGCAGCCACGGGGTGGACAACAGCATGAAAAAACAAACAAGAACTCAGCATGAGAAACATTGAACAAGACAGTGAAGCTTCTGCATTTTCCTTTGTACTGAAAGTGATCGCTATTTTCCTCACTGCAATGTATCATGCATATATAATTACATGGGATCAGAGCCAACAACCCTGGGAAAATAATCTAAGAAAATTAAGTCATCAGAGAGATAATAGAATAGAAACGTCACCAAACCAAGAGGCAGCAGCCTTAGGATCTCTGTGGACCTTCAGACAAACTACTTCCCCTCTCTGGGCCTCAAACTCAAAGAGCTTAAGGCTGATATAAGCCATTTTAAAACAAACAAACAAAAAAGTTTTACTTCAAACTGGCAACTCAACCATAAAGATGGGATTTTAGCACAGTTATAAGCATAATACAATTTACTATTACATAATATTTTCTATAAGCTTAGGAAAGAAAAACTTTTCACCTAGTTTCTCTTCCCTCTTTCCTTATATTCTAGAATTTCCAGAAATTAAAATAAAGGGACTTCATTAGTTCTGGCAGCTAAGACTGGGGCATCTTTCACTAAGAGTTCTTTAATTAAAGTTTTAAAAGACTGAGATTCAAACCCAAAGAAAAATATTCCGTTGCATGTCTGCAAAAGATGTAAATATAAACATTCATAACTTTACTTAACAAATATTGAATCAATTTTCTTCTATTCTGGTTTGACTCAGATACAAGGCTGCCAAGCTTCTAGTTTATAACTCCAGTTGTTTTGTAGTCCAACAAATGTCAAAAAAATAAAACAAATCCTTCCCAATGTTCCCCCCATCATTTTGTTCCTCAACTCCTTCTGTCTCAAAGAGCCGAATCCAATTCTATCTGCCAAATAACAAAACAAACATAATTGTGCCTATGAAATATGAATTTATGTGTGAGTTGAGGGGCTGGGAGGGTAAAAAACAGACAGAAAAGAAAAGAAATAAAGAAGAAAAACAAATGTGCTTATTGGTAAAAGTTACCGTTCAAAATGGAGGCATTTTCACCTTAATAACTTGTATTTTTAAAGAGAATAATTTCGAAGGTGAGAACACATAGGAGATAGAAATTATCAGGTTGAAAACCAGGAGACCTAGGTTCTAATCCTGGCCTTGCCACTAACATGATGTGAGAGCCCAATAAGCTATTCATTTCCTCTAGATCTGAGCTTTTCAGTTGTGAAATGAGAGGAGTAAGCTGAATAATCTTAGTACCTTTCAGTACTAAGACAAGGTCAAGGGAACTTTTGATAGAGACTGAAATCTTGTCTAAGTCTCTGCAGTCTTGTCCTTCTGTCAAAAGCAGAAAAGATGACTAATATTAGGTGGAAGCAAAACCGGCTGGAGTTTCTAGTACACATCTATGGTGGCTGACCTAGCCCAGATGTCCTGTTAGCTTGTTACTTTTGATTTCACCAGGCCAAGGTTTAGTAAAAAGCCAGGGTTCTATTCTATGTTCATGTATCATGGGAAAAACCCTTACATTTCGAAAGTAACTCTGGGCCCTAAAGCTGTTTGTGTTATTCAATCTGCCTCTCCAGTTTTCCACAGAACCACAGACTGTCAGAGATGGAAGGGGCCTCAGAGCTCACTTGGCCCCTCATGTACAGCAGGAAGGCAGGAAGGCCCAGGAAGGGAGGTAACTTACCCAAGTTTGCCAAGGCCAGAACTGGGAACAGGACCCATGTCTTGACTCTCAAGCCAGTATTCTTTCCCTGGCATCAGGTTGCCCTATGCCTTAGATAGAAGAGCTAGTTTCAACTTTCCCAATGAGCACTTTATGAAAATATAAGACTAGCTCTTCTGTGATTAGATAATTTAATCTAATAATTTAGCTTTGATATGGCACACTGAAAGCAAAACCACTTGTCCCTTTCATTAAAGGAAGCAAGAGGAGACGTGGGAGGGTGGGTGGGAACCCACAGAGCCATATTCCCTCAAAGTAGTTTAAAAACTCTAGTCCAGGCCACCAGTGTATGCAGCTTTCAAAGGGCGCAATAGGAACTCCCAGCCAAGAGGCTGGCAGTGGGAGCAGCCACCCACCCGAGCAGATTTTCCTAGTCCCGAAGGCAAGACTGAGACACCCAAACCTGCACCTCCAAGTTCCCTTACCTGAGTGAATCGTCGCACAAGGCACGTCTTCCCCACACCAGCGTTGCCGATTAGAACAATTTTGAACAGGAAATCATAATCTTCCATACTCATTTACACAGCTGCAAGGTAAACACAGGCAAGAGTGAGAGGGGCTCCGTCAGACTTTCCCAAAGAGCTCAAGCCACTCCAGCCCTGTCTCCTAGGGGAACAACAGGTCTGACTCATTTATAGAGCAATGTCATGCTCCTCTCTGTTGACCCTGCCAGCAAGAGAGGAACACAGGTGTTGGGTCACAGATGGACTTTATTCCCTCCCAGCTACTTCATGCCACAGAGAGCAAATGACACAGATGTCCTTTCACCTGGTAACCTTTATTCCTCCAAGCTGTCAGGGTACAGGTTGCTCCTGTGATAGAATCTGTTTTCTTTTAGCATGTAAAGGAGATTACAAATCTATGTGCAGGCAAGCTGGGGTGCAATGAAGCAAGGACAAAGGAGAGTCCATCAGAGCTTACAGGTAGTTTATGAGCTGTGCATGTCTCTGAAGAAGTGCTAATTGACTAGGAGACCAAATGAAGGCGAAGGAACACGATGGGTCCTTTCAGTCTCCTGCAAGTCCTGGAGACCATGGGGTCTCACCAGTGGCAGTCCTAGACACCTTGCCCCTCTGCCACTACCCCATTCCTACACATCTTCTGCCAGCCATGCCCATGCTACGGAGCCTCCAAAAGTGCTTGCCATGTCATTCTTATAGGTTTGGAATGTGCCATTTCTTCTGCCTGAGATCCCCTCCCTCCCATTCCTTCTGTGTTATGAAGTCCTTGAAGGCCCAATGCAAGCATCTCTTTCTGAATCTTTCACTGATCTTCCCCAAATAACAATAAGCACCTCTACCACTCCTCTGCCCTAAAAACTTCACTCACTGTATACAGTTATTTGTCCAAATGTCTGCTTTATCTTTGAGGTCGACTCTGTTTTCCTAGCTCCTGGGATAGAGTTGTACTCTACAAATGTCTACTCTACATCAGGAAAGAACTAGTTAATGCAGATTGCTTATATGTAGGCCTTATTTTCTCCAGTTGTGCTAAAAAGAATACTACAAGCTCTGTCTACTTCAGAGGACTGTTGCAATGATTTTTTTTAAAAGTACAAAAGAGCCTTAGTACCCATATAGCCTTATCCTGGTGAAAGCAGCTGTTATCTCTTGAGCCTACTATAGTACCTATCACCATAGGAAATGCAGAGAAGAGTTCAACATGAAAAAAGTTAAACAATGAAAAAGAAGTTAAATAACAATTGGAGTCAACAGTGAAGCTCATTTCATAAGGCAGAACAGGCTCCCTGGGCCCTGGAGGAAGAGGAAAAGGGTAATCAGTGAGCTCTTGAGAGAAAGGGTGCTTGGGAGAGTTTAGGAAGCCTCAGGGCCAGTTGCAGGCTTATAGGTTAGAGGGGAGGGCCCAATGAACCAGGGGAGTACATTCCTGTGTGTAAGGGCGATTTCTATGTAGGTTCAACTGATCCTTGGAAAGATAACTGACAGCCAAGTCAACAAGCAGGTGGCAGTTCATGGGGAACGTGAAGGAAAACCATATCTGAACAAATAGATCCATAAGCAGTGGTAGCACTAACAATATGCCACACACTATATTTCCACTTGTTTTCCCAAATATACGAAGCTGATATTTATTAACATACTACCTATTTTACAGATGAGTAAACAGAGGTTAAAGGAAAATAAGAGGGTGGCCCAAAATTATAAAGCTAACAGTCGGATTTCAGGTTCCAAAGGTACATGGTATCATCAATATGGAGCCAGAGAGACCTAGGTTCAAATTCTGGCTTCTAACTCTGTGCCTTTGAGAAAATGACAATTTTTCAGAGCCTCAATAAAATGGCGATAATAACACATATATCACAGAACTGTGATACTTAAAAGAATTAACAGAAACCCTCAAGGACAATATCTGGCTCTTAGTCACACAAACTCCTTAATATGACTCAGACGTTTTCCATGACCTGGTTTCTGCCTTCACTGGCAGCCCCACCTCTCACCACTCTCCTCCTAACCCACACACTAGGCTCACGGGATTTCTTCAGTTACTTAAATACCATGGGATTGCTTTTCTCCTCAGACCTTCATGGTCATTGTTCCTTCTCCCAGAACACAGAACACAACTGACCCTTACCGCCCACAGTCCAGTTAACTTTTACTCCCCCTTTAGATCTCAGCTTAAACACCACTTCTCTGACCTGCAAGGGAGCCTGGGTCTCCCTGTTCTGTGCTTCCACAATGTCCTCCTCCTCTCCTGTAGTAATACTCACCATACTTAACTATAATTAATTATTACACACTCCAACCCCCATCTCTCAGCACTTCAGTCTCTCTCCCCCTCCCTCCTTTTCTCCCTCCTTCTCTCCCTCCTCCTTCTCCTCCTCTCTCTCTCTCCCTCTGTCTCTCTCTCCCTCTGTCTCTCTCCTTTTCTTTCTCACTCTCTCCCTTTCTCTCTCTCTCCCTCTCCTTTTCTCTGTCCCTTTCTCTCTCTCTCCCTCCTCCCTCCCTCTTTCCCTTTTTCTTTCTCTCTCTCTCCCTCCTCCCCCATCCCTCGCTCCCTCTCTCTCTCTCTCCCTCTGTCTCTCTCTCCCTCTGTCTCTCTCCTTTTCTTTCTCACTCTCTCCCTTTCTCTCTCTCTCCCTCTCCTTTTCTCTGTCCCTTTCTCTCTCTCTCCCTCCTCCCTCCCTCTTTCCCTTTTTCTTTCTCTCTCTCTCTCCCTCCTCCCCCATCCCTCGCTCCTTCTCTCTCTCTTTCTCTCTCTGTCTCTCTCCCCCTGCCACCCCATAACTATGAGCAGCTTGAGGGCAATGAAGTATCTGGTTGAGTCTTACCCCAACTCCTCTCCATCATCATCATCTCACTCAACATTATTAAGGAATTTAATCATCACAACAGTCCTATGAGGTGGACACTACACTATTAGTATCCCAACTTGAGAGAGGGGGAGATTAAGGAACAAGAAAAGTTATTCTTCAGCATCCATGTCCCACAGTGCCTTTCATAATGCCTGACTCATAGTAAGAGCCCAAGAAAGATGTGATGAATTGAAGAGGGCAAGAATCCAATAAGTGTGGTTTTTCTTTTCTCTTCCCCTCTTCAAATACAAACCTTCTTTTACCACACAGTAGTTTAAAGATTGATTTTTCTTGATATGTTTGATGTTATTTTATTCACAGAACTACATGATGCTGCATATCACTGTAATTTGTGTCTTTTTTAAAACAAAATAGCTTTCTTTTTCCTATTTAAAAAAAGAATCAAAGTCAAACCCCTTTTAAAAATTCAGGGATATGGCATGACAACAAAGATCAGTACAGCTATTAAAAGTGAAAATAAGCCAGGCGCAGTTGTTCATACCTGTAATCCCAGCACTTTACAAGGCTGAGGCAAGAGGATCACTTAAGTCCAGGAGTTCGAGACCAGCCTGGGCAACATAGCAAGACCTCATCTCTACAAAAAAAAATAAAAATAAAAAATAAAAAAATTAGCCAGGTGTTGTGACGCATACCTGTAGTCTCAGCTACTTGGGAGGCTGAGACAGAAAAGATCGCCTGAGCCCAGGAGGTCAAGGCTGTGGTGAGCCATTATCATGCCACTGCACTCCAGCCTGTGTGACAGAGTGAGACCCAGACTCAAAAAAAAAAAAGTGAAAATAAAATGAAACTCAGTGATATGCACAAGGATATCAGGAAAACCTTAGGCCCTGTGCACCATGACTACCTGATTTCAAAGCAGTAAGAAACAGGACGCATGGTCCTGGACTACATTTTTTTTCTCTGCCTAGATTGTTTAACATATATTTATTTCTACATCCTTGCCAGAGGTCAAAGAACCACAGCAGGGAATCAACAGAAAAATATCAAAAATTAAGGACCTTAGAAAAAGGACTGTCAAAATAATGTTAATGGGGCCCAAATTGTGCACCTTTAAGAAAAGGAAGTGCTGGCCAGGTATATTGGTTCACGCCTATAATACCAGCCCTTTAGGAGGCTGAGGTGAGAGGATTGCCTGAGCCCATGAGTTTGAGACGAGCCTAGGCAACTTGACGAGACCTTACCTCTACAATAAATTAAAAAATTAACCGGGTATGGTGGCACATGCCTGTAGTTCCAGCTACTTGGAAGACTAAGGCAGAAGAATCACCTGAGCCCAGCAGGTCGAGGCTACGGTGGCTGCGAGTGTGCCACTGCACTCTAGCCTGGGCGACAGAGTGAGAATCCAACTCAAAAAAGAAAAGAAAAGAAAGCGAAAGAGAGTTGTTGTCATAGTTAACATTGTCTCATGTGGTTACACCTAGAGCAAGCCACAGAATAAAAATTAAGACACTTCTCCTTTCTAAATTATTTAAATGCTCTGTTGAATATTTTTAAAGTGGACCTCTGGGGAAAAAATGGTTTGGTGTCTTTAAAGTCCTGGCAGTCTATGGCTAAAGCTTGTCTCGTTGCAGTCCTGGCAGTCTATGACTAAAGCTGGACTGTAGACTCCAGGTTACCTGTTGGAGTTACTGTTTTATTTCTATTTTTTTAATTTTAATTTTTTATTTTTTGAGTCAGAGTCTCACTCTGTCACTCAAGCTGGAGTGCAGTGGCATGCTCACAGTCACTGCAGCCTCAACCTGCTGGGCTCAGGCAATCCTTCCACCTCAGCCTCCTAAGTAGCTGGGACTACAGGCTGAATTTTTAGATTTATTATAGAGATGAGGTCTCACCAAATTTCTCAGGCTGGTCTGAAACCCCTGGGCTCAGGCAATCTTCTGGAGTGCACTGGCACACTCACAGCCACTGCAGCCTCGACCTGCTGGACTCAGGTTATCTTTCTGCCTCAGCCTTCCAAGTAACTGGAACTACAGGTGTGTGCCACCACACCCGGTTAATTTTTTGATTTATTGTAGAGGCGAGATCTCACCAAGTTGTCCAGGCTGGTCTTGAACCCCTAGACTCAAGCAATCCTCTCGCCTTGGCCTCCCAAAGTGCTGGGATTACAGGCTTAAGCCACCATGCCCAGCAGAAAGCCTGCTTTTAAAGAGACCAAACACTTTTTCCCCAGAGGTCCACTTAAAAAATATTCA